TCTATTCTCCTATATCAGGAATATTTTATGCTTTAATACATCCAGCAAACTCTCCTGTTAGCCATTGCCATTCAAACCAATTGGAATTTCTGGGTAATGTATTATTTCTATTACCCATATTTATTTTGAAATCAATATAAAACTTCTTATTAATAACTTACAAATTTTATCAACTAATTATATCACCTCTATTCCGATTAGAATTTAGATTTGTAACAAAAGTTCCTTTGATTCCTTTAATCACGTTTTTAATATCTTGTCCTGTTGTTACATCAAAACCTAAACGAATATACTGATTGATTGCATGTGATATCTAATTCAATTATAAAAGATGTCAATATATAGGTATAGAATTATATAAGTAAATTTGCTAATAGTTTTATCATACCTATGCATAATGAGAATCAATAGTAGTTTTTGCTTCTCCTGCTTCCAAAAAAACCCATTTACTTACATTAATTCTATAATATTTTGACTAATATCCCATTATCATCATTTGATCAGCATTATGATAATGACCTCTATTATCAGACATTATAATTACCGACTTAGGTTTTGGATCTAATACTTCTATTACTGCATAAAATGAAGATGCTGTAAACTATGAATCCTGACGTGTATCTGCAGACCAGTGATTAAATGCCTGAATACGTAATTTTGTCAAGTTGGATTGTGTGGTATATACAAGAATTGAATGAAAAGACCAACCTTTTTTACCAAACCAATTCTATTTAGTTTCTCGTGCTGATTTAGGTAATATTTTCATTTTATAATCTACTAATATTAAAGCAGTTTTTTTATCCAAACTTAATAAATTGGCATTAAATTATGCATTTAAATACACCTTTCTTGTTTGGTGAGCTAAATAATTAAACAGATGATCACATACATCTTCTAATTCCTCATGATCCAAAATATCAGTATTAGTGATCAATATATCAAAAAACTGAAAAAGAGTCTGACAATCATTGCAAATTCGAGTATGAGATTTATTACATTTTCCAAATGTATATAAAAGACAATGATTGATACAAGTATCATGAAAGGTTGTTCCATGTGGCATAATGTGAAAATGCTGTTCATAATCACGTTTAAGAAAACGTTTTAATTTTTCACACTCCAATAACAATTGTTTCTATAATAATCAATAGGTATGTATTAGCAATTATCTAATATATAAGTTTATTTCAAATACTTATATACCTGAATTATAACTTCTGTTACTTTTTTTGAATTAATAAGGTAAGGTCTGAAAAAATTTCGTAACCATATTGTGAACATGTATGACATAATTCACCCAAATTCTCTCGATATATATATTTATTTCCTGCTAACTTGGTATAAAAACTAGTGCAACTTATTCCATCTGAGTATTCCTCATGAAATTTATTCCAAAGTATATTCTTCGAGTTTTTTAGGTAATGTATTAGTTCATTTGTAATAGAATCTGTTTTGTATGAACTCATTATAACATTAGCTTTATCTGTTAGAAAAGCTTGTAATTGTGCATTCTTTTCTGCTGACATTTTTTCATGTCTAATTATAGATTTTTTAGTAATTAATCCTCCAGAACCATAAAGATAAGCATGGTTTGTGTAACACAAACTGCATCATTTGAAACCTAATAGAAACAATAGGCTTAATAAGGAAAGTAGGATTAATAATTGATTATATTAAATGCAAACTAATTACTCACACCTAAGTTTTTTTAATATCTTCGTATTTAAAATTGTTAGCAATTATAGATAATACCTATTGACGTTTATCAACATCACATTTGTTGATTTTCATAGAATTGCGAAAAGAATCCCAAAAAATATTTGCAAAATATGATGGAGTTGGTGTAATAAATCCAAGATCATATAATACAATCAAAGAATTTCTATCATTGTCTGAAGTGGTAGACCGAGACTAAAACTCAAACTATAAAGGCAATTTTTAACAGTTAAGCTTATATATGTAAACTATAATATTTATTGAAATAAAACTTACTTCTGATTGATTTTTATTATATAGAGTAACATCAGAATAACCAACATTTTTTAGTATTGCTTTCCAAGCTCAGAATTCCCGATCACAAATTTTATATTCTATTGGATAAATCAGCTGTAAGGCTGATTTTAATTCTATAACAGTATTTCGTTGCTCCAACCAATTACAAAAAAAATAGTGCCAATCTATCTCTGCTAATACACAACATTTAAGATGGTAATTATAGATATTGATCATTACCTCTTTATTATACCATTCATTCAAAGTACAAAATGGAATTTGAGCTGCTTATAAAAGGTTTTGGTGTGCTGATTAATTAGTCTAAAAAGTTGTTTTCCATCATATTGCTGTAGTATTCCAATTTTTAATCAAACTAAATCTGGATTTTGATCAATAAAGATTGTGTGTATGTCAGGTCCATAAAATATTGTTACTTTGCAATGGTTTTCATCTATTTCTTGATAAAATAAAGCCTACCTTTTTTTTATATTGGTATATAAAAGCTGACTTAAATCTAGGGTAAGCTAAATTAATTGTGATTTTATCGGAGCATCCAATTTTTATTATCCAAATTTGAAGACTCCCAAGTTGAAAGTTATAAAGATGAAATGGTAAATCTGATAATAATTCATTTGTAATAATTGCTGTATCAAATCCCAGAACTTCTGGACCTGGAAGTTTTGTACTTGTTTTAAAAAGAACGTGATATACTGAAGAAATAGCTACTGTTGCTGTTTTGTATACTTCACTTTTGACCCTATCATACTTATAAATATACCTAGGGTGTGGGCTAAAAGCAGAGTCAAGTTGAAGTACCTCTGTAATAAATTTATATTTATTTAATATGACTAATGTTTTGAAATGCAACTGAATTGGGTAAAGTGAAATTATATCATTTGTTTATCAACGGGCTAGGAAAGCCACCAATTATGACAAAAAGGCCAAAAATACAAATTTTCATCCTAAATGCCACGAGAAATTAATAAAATCGTATATTCTTTGTGTTTTGCATGTGGTAAAGAAATTAGGCTAAAGAGAAATAGCAGATTCTAACGAACGTTCAAAACATATAAGTTAATTATCCCCACATTTTATATATTAAAATCACTGATCGGAATACGTATCACGAATTAATTCTTTTAACACATTATCTGGAATTCTTCTATGGGATTTATATTTTTTGACAGCATACTCTGCCAATTTTCTACTAATACCTTTTTTATAAGCATCCATATAATGCCAGCACTTTCTTGCAAATTTTCTAATCGTAACTAATAGTACGGAATTAAGACTTTTAGATACTATTTACTGTAATCCATTCCATAAATAATTGCAATTTTCCTGAATATATCTTTTATAAGCTTCCCAATATCTTTCAATGAAATTTAGTTCACAATAAAATTTGGGATAAAAAATGTATTTATGATCAGCTTTTTCAATTAATTCTTCAATTGTTCCTTTTTGTGTAAGAAAATCAGGTTCTAAAAATATTACTCGACAAGTACAATAAGAAATTCTTGAAGAATCTTAAATTTTTTCTTTACAATTTTTACATTCTAATATTAATCCTTTAGATACCCATTTTTCTCGCTCTATCAATACTTGTTTGATTCCTTTAGGCTGACCTCAAAGTTTTTATTAAAATAAGTAGCTAAAAATACCATTGATTATAACTATTGATTTGTTCTAAAATAAGTATTATGTATGATTGGTTACTTACCACTAGGATTCAAATTCATTCAACTTGCAATTAGAGCATCTTTTCCAAATGTAGCATGATTTGAATTATTATCAAAGGCAAAAACTGCTATGTAATTTAGATACAATATTTTAAAAATAAGAATGGCTTTACATTTAATTTGTTCAAGAAGTTGTTCAGCTGTTTAATAATCTTCTTAATTTTTACTAGGTTTTAAATAACACTGCGCTTTTTCAGGTATATTTGGATTTTGCAATATATTGGTTTGTTGTAAACACAAACATCTATCAATCTCAGTAAGAAATTCACTAACCATTATTCCTTTTTTTCATAATGATAGTTCTTTATTTTTAGCCTATACTTCACGTTTGCTATTATTAGAATAAAAACTGCATTTATAATAAATTACAAGAATTCATTCTTTTTCTCTTTTAAGCAAATTAGGATATATATGTTTTATTGTTTCACCTTTATACTTGGACATATATTTCTCATGTTCAAACATTTTTTCCAAAAATATTTTATGATATTGTAAAACATCATCTCGTTTGTATCCATCATAATATATTTCTTGATGATGTTATTGAAATGAATAACCAAGAATATTAAGCCATTTCATTGCAGTTGTTAAATGAATAGATTTTTCTTAGTAATTCCAATATTAGGTAATAGCTCTTTTTCAACAAATTCTTTAAATGTAGCTGGCGTGGCTTTAAAATTTTGCTTATAAATCCAGGTTTGGCATTTTTCTGCTATATTTTTATTATCAATCAATCTAATAGTTTTTTGATATTTCTACGTCTAGATACATAATATTAGATGCATCATACTTTGCATAGTTCATCATCAACAAAAACTATTTTAGCTGCTTCTAAACTAGCATGCATTTTTCTATTATTTAAGCAGGTAAGATATTCAAAGACAGCTCGTTTATTATTATATTCAGTGACAGTTATCTGATTATATTGTTTTTCTAATTGTTCTTTTAGATTTTGTATCCTTTCATCAATTTGGTAAGTATTTTTATTATTAACTCATCTTCCGAATCACTTGAAATTTATTCTATTTTATTGAGTTGTACTTTGCAGCTTGATCATTAATTTAAAAAAATTTGTGATTTTTTTAGTATTAACAGCTGTTTTGGTAAATAAACCAGTCAGTCCATATTTTCATAATAACTTAATTTTGGAATTTTTCCCATTATATATCAATCACGTTTTGTCTTTTCTAGTTTACTATCTTTTTTTCATACTAATTTAAAATCTTTATTTTTTAGGCTTTATATCTTCTCAGACTCATCATTATCATCTTAACTACTATCTTCATCATTATTCCATTCTTCTTCATTCCATTCTTTTTCACCAAATTCTTTATCATAGGTTTCTAAATTTATCTTACCAACAGTTGTTTTATCATTATTAAAAGGTATTAAAATAACAAATAAACTGCTATCATTAAAAGGATTAAATAAGTCACTATCATCAGGAAAACTAAATGAATTATTATTAAATGAACCATTACCAGGAGGATCAAACAAACCATTATCAAGAAGACCAAACGAATCATCACTAGAAGGATCAAATGAAATATCATCAGGAGAATCAAATGAACTATCACTAGGAGAATCAAATGAATTATTACCAGAAGGATTAAATAAACTATTTGCAGTAACTGCAGTAACTGCACCATAATAACCAGCATTACTTTTTTTATTATTCTTTTTTTTACAATTATTATTGAGAACTAAAGATTCGGATTGACTTTGATCATCTATACTTCGATACCAGGCTTTTTAATATCATATTTACCATCTGCAGTACAATTTTGTTTTATTGATTTTGCTTTTGCTTAGAAAGAGGCAGATTTTAAATTTAATACAATAAAACACAATAAAATAATAAAGTTGAAATACGTTTAAAATAGTGTTTTGATATAAACGCGTATTCAAATTTAAGCGCGTTTTCAAATTGATTCTTCAATTTATTAATTTAATTTATTGAAAGACAGATTTTTTAGAAAAATTTTTTTTTTCATTTATGAATTTCTTTATTATTCTTATTTAAACTGCAGTTATTTATTATAGTTTATACTTTTCTATGATTAAATTACATTAATTGATTATAAAAAAGGAATTTAATCGCTGAAAATTATATGAACTTTAATTTTATAAAATTATGTGATGGAGCGATGTAGTCACGTGATAAAAACCACGCATTTTTATTGGTCAGATTACAATTATACCCCTGTAAATACCTATGTAAAATTAGTCTAAAATTGACAAATTATTAATAAAATATCTAATTTTTAAACTCTAATAACTTTTTGAATAATAATTAAATTTAAAATGTAAGCTGATTTTTTGAAAGATTATAACATAAACTATAAGAAAATCAGTCTATTTTTTTTTTTTAAATATTATTTAGATTAAAAGACTAGATATAATTTAAATTTATATTATATTTTTGATGACTATAAATGCTATAAATGCTGTGCATCATATTCAAATTTTCTGATTTATCTTTATTTTTACAATCTTTTTTTTTTCTAATTTTTTATTAAAAAGTATCATGTACATAATTGGTTTAACATATGAACTTTATATATACATTGAAAGATCGTATTTATGAAATTTTGTAGCTTTTGATATACAAGTTTAATTTTAAAACTTTATTTTTGTTTTTTTAACCAAATTAACTCAAATTTCCTAAGATTATTTATAAATTGTCTACAATGAATCACTTAAAAAGCTTTTATTTTGAAAGAAAACAAATCTGAATGTTTAGAAGAAATAAAATCTAGAAACATTTAAAACTTTTCAAGTTATCTAATTCTAATATTTTAAATATATTCATAAATTTTTTTTTTTACTTATTTTGCCTTTTTTTGTTAAAAATATGTATAATATAAAAAAAATGCAAGTTGATATAACTATCAAAAATCTATTTATCATAGTCTCAATTTGTTAATTTCATAATTAAATAATTATTTATATAAAAAATTAAATGATAATTAAGCTTTAGTGTATTTATCATTAATATTGGGTAATATTTTGAAATAATTTTAATTTTACAAATTTTAGTCATGCTTATTTGAGGCTTTGCATATTTGTTTTGGACAATTTTTTCGATGTGAAGATTCCTATTTGTCACCTCATTTTGTCACATGGGTAATTTCGGCCAAGTTCTATAATGCCGGCCAAAAATGAGTGGGGCGAAATTTTCTGGTTCCACGTGACTTGGATTTTTGGTCGCGAATTACATAATTAAAAATACAGTATTTATAAATCAAAAATTATACTTGATAAGGTGAGCTTCTTTATAATACGCGTAATTATAAAACTAACTGAATTTATTTGATTCAGGTTCGCCTTTACTTTGAAAAAAAAATTATGTCTCATCAAAGAATTATATCTCGTGGTTCAGAAAACCGCAGGTATCGTAGCTTACTTTCCAAAGAACGATACAACGAAAATCTGAAGAAAGAGAATGATATAAATAAGGAAGATTCTTCTAAATCCACAAAGAGAGAAACGTTACGCGAAGTAACATATAAACATACATTCAGCACCAGCAACAACATAAATGAGCGTAAAGTAAATTATAAATCGTTTCGAGAAATAAATTTTGGAAAGGGTTTATTATCATCTGCTAAAAATGAAAGCATTGAGAAAATCAAGGAATCTAATAAACCTACTCTCGTCACAAATAACTTTTTCACAGAATTATCTAAAGAAAAATCACCAAAAATCAGCAACAAACAAATCAACGAAGTTGATAAAGTTGAGAATTTTAACAATAGAAATGATTATATTCTTAAAAATAATTATTCCAAAGTTGATAAGATTGTTGAGGTTGAAAATTATTTCGAAAATCTTTATGGAAAAGACGGAATTAAAGGCATGACTGTTGAATTTTATGATCTTGAATCGATTAAAGATAAAAGTTTCCCTATCCCTGAATGGCTTTTAAAAGATAATTCCGAAGAACTCTTTAAAGCGGAATTACCGCCTCAAGACATAACGGTATATGATCTTTGGTTTTTTAGACGAAAAAATGAAGGTGCTCCCAGTTTTGTTCACAAAGGAATCAAGCCAATTTCCAATGCTGATATTTTATCACATTTGGAAAAGATTTATAACGGTTCTCGTGAAGAAAAACGATTAGATACAAATAAAAATGGATCTAAGATGATTCACATTATCTTGAATGATTTGAGAAAGATTAATAATTATATGTTGTATATTGGAAGTGAAACGCGATATCCCAATAATGTAATGGAGAAAACTCCAAAGCTTATCGAAAAACTTGAAAAGGTTTTGGAAAGGATTCGTTCTTATAGAACTTATGAATTTGTAAATATAGCCAATGATGAAAAGGCGGTTAAATATACTAAAGAATTATTGGATGTAACTTTGATGAACTTTAACGTGAGAACGAGAGATAACAGCAAGAATCGTAAAATGTTTAGGAAAGTTTGGAAAGAGACGAATAAAGAACTGGAAGCATTAATCGAAAAGTATTTTTCATGGAAACAAAAGGGTTGGTTAACGCGTCATTTTAGTATTTTAATCATAATTTTTCACCATTCATCGCAAAATGGTACTAACGTTACAAATAATCAAAATTACAGTATGCACGACAATAAAACCTTAGCTTTCCACCACACTCACTACGCTAATTCTATTCACATTAATTTTATTTATATTAATCTTAATTGTTGTTCTTAATTTTGCTAGTTCTAAATTTAAATGATAACAAACATTGCACATTTCCTCTTTTACTTCTCTTCTCTTTCCATCATTATTATATATCTTCCAAATTTTTTTTAAATCTTCGATAACTATTTCAAGATCTTTATTAGCTTTGGTGTAAATACAATAATAATTGTGAAATTCATTAATCGGCATGACGAATTCTTTTAAATGAGAATAAATGTTTTCTGCTTCATTTGTAAAAGAAATCAAATTTTTTGTAAAATTTAAAACGATAAAAGGATCTTTCTTTTGTTTAATGATTAATAATTGAATAAAATAATTAATGTAAGCAATGTAATTCAATAAGTCATAATGAAGTTTATGTTGTATATACAGGCCATTTTCTGTTAGTTTTACATTATATTGCTTCATAATTATTTCTTTGGGAGTTATTTTAGAACGTTTCAAATTCCCCCAAAAACATTGTGAGTTGAAATTCATATTTATATTTATATTATGATGAAAGAAGATTTTTGATTTATAAGAAAAATAATTTTTTTTTTTAGAGAAGGCGAATATTTTTTTTTGCCACCAAGGTAATAATAGAATTGTATGGTTGCTAAAATTAATATATGATGCCAACCTGGGCAAATTATTTAAAAAGATTTTTTTGAAAAAATTTTTTTATTCGTAATCATATACACTTTAGCAATTTATATAGTAACTAATTATTTTATTATTTTACATATTTAGTTAATGAATGACAAACAAAGGGGAATAAAGATTTGTTTATGGTCGTTTATTTTTAGATTATCCCTGAAATTTGAAACATTTATTGTTACTTTATGCTAAATTTAGGAAGAATTTATTTGTTTGGATTTTGTATGACTATGTTATATAAACAAATGATCGTTCAAATTGCAGATCTGCAAATCCGATTTTTTTGAAAATTTCTTCCTTTATTTCGCATTTCGCATCAATTTTATATTTGGCAATAATTGTCACCTTTATTATAATTGATTGTGGAAATGAGCAAAAAGGGTCGTTATTCTGTTGATTGGGGATCGGTTATTAAAAATGTCCTTTATAAAGAATTTGGTGGTGGTTCGTGTCTATTCTATCAACGGCTGATGCTATGGAATAAGAATATATACGAGAATAATGGATGATATTGATAAAGGGAACAGAATAACATGATTTTATATATATATATATATTTTGGATAATCTGATAAAGATATGATACCGAGTATATGAACATTTGGAGGATTTTCTATAGAGGTAATGAATTGTCGAGTGTGTGTTTGCATTGGATTTTTTTTTTCAGTTAATAAATCGATGATTTTCTAATTATGAATGTTATGTCAATCCTAAATTTATGAATGAAATAAGGATGGGAATCAGGATAACTTGGTATAAATATCACTCGGATCATTTTTTTCATAAGACAGATGCCAAACCGAAAGAGAATTCCATATTTGCTATTCTGCCTTTTTTTTTGATATAGAAATATTCATTAACTATCTCGGAAAACTATATTAAGAATTATTGGAAAAGATCTGATTATTCCATAGATCTCGCAATTTTCCTGTTCTGCAATTAATAATAAATATTTTTTTTTTAAAAAAAAATTTATGGCTGTAAATTTGCATTTGCATCAACAGGCAACGTTTCAGCATCAATTACCAGATTCATTCCCGTGAGAGAACATAAGTCTTCGAACGTATTTGCGATCTAAATTATAGATAACTTAATTTAGGTTAAATGTTATTTTGATAAATTAAATCAAATACTCCTACGCGGAATCAGATTAGGTTTTCATTTTCATAAAATTATCAAAATTCTAGCAATAAATCAGTTGAGAAGCGCGCTTTGCTAGGTATATATTATTAGTTACTGCCATGCGGAAGTGATATATATCATCACAACGGACACAGCGCATTCACTAATGTATACACCTAAAAAAAAAAAACCTAAAAAATACATCATATCCATAT